TTAACGGTGCTAAGGTGCTGAGAGAGTATGTGTGTTATTGTGTATGTTCACCCAGTAGTGGTGTGAGTAAATTGAGCCTGAGGGCATGGTACCAGGAGTTCCTATTTTGGTGTATACAACTTTTTCCTGCATCCATTTTCGTGTCTGAATAAATATTGTATTTGTATGTTGGGTCTATTATTCACCTACAGTATCCACCGTTGTTTCTTTCCTTTTGCTTGATACTATAATTACATGTACCCATGGGCCCACCTCTCGTCACGCTACCAAAGGTTGAAGTATTAAAGTAAAAGTTGTTATAAGAGTGACAAGCCCTTAAAGGGTGGCAGCTTTTGTTGCCGGCTCTTATAGATTAATGGTAACTTTATAATCACCACATAGTCTAACAGATTTATTTGCTTTAGGTACAATTACTATAGGAGTAGCCCAATTGCTCTTGGCGGTTTTCACAATAATTCCCTCACTCACAATTATGTCTAATTCCTTCTCAACCTCACCTTTCAAAGCATAAGGAACAGGTCTGGACTTAGCATATATGGGTGTAACATATTTGTCAATGGTGATATGAGCTTCATAACCCTTTATACCATCCTGTCTCTTTACAAATAAAATCTTGTATTTTTCAAGCAATTTCTCAAGACCTGGAATACTGTTACACATTCTAACACTAAATATCTCCTTCCAGTCCATCTCAAGTTCACACAACCAGTTCTTACCTAACAAAGTTGGTCTATTCACATAACTAGCTATAATTAATGGCAACTTTAAATTCTGATTTTTATACTTTACCTCACACTCTAATTTACCTTCTGTGTTCAAAATCTCTCCAGTATAGGTTTTCAACTTGACACCTGAGTCTTCTAAAGGCACATGCACAAATAGTTTCTCATACATATCTTTACTCATTATGGCAAAATCAGCTGCAGTATCCACTTCCATGGTTACAGGTGTGTCATTAATACACAAGTCCACATTATACCTATGTTTAACTTTCTCTTCACGACTGGTGTAAATAGTAAACACATGGGCACTCTCATCATTGTCAGATCCAAAAATTACTAACACTCTCATGAATACTGTTTTTCATTTCCTTCTCTCCACCTTCAACGGCATATACTCTACCTCTATCACTTCTACAGGCAGGAGCAATATGTCCAATACGTTGACAATTGTAACATTTTAAATTCTTGAACTTACACTGAAAGCTTTCATGTTTCCCTCGGCACCTCTTACATTTTAAATCAGCATGTGTTCCTTGTTTTGTGGCATACTTATTCCTTTTGGCTACAGTTACTTTACACACTGAACCACTACTGCCAACTGTTTCACTACCAGCATTGGGAACAAATTCTCTGGTGTTTTTCTCGGCCAATTCCATGCTTGTAGCTATCTGACATGCACTTTCAAAAGTTAAGTTAGTGGTGTTCATTAACTTATTCTGTATTTTTTCATAATTCAGGCCTATTACAAACCTGTCTCTTTGAACTCGGTTCAAGAACTGTCCAAAGTTACAGTGAATGGATAACTTCTTCAAAGCTACAATATAATTACTTACTGATTCATCTTTACCTCTATCTCTGGTGCCAAATCTGTAACTTTCAGCAATCTCAAGTGGTGCAGGATCAAAATTTTGCTTCAGAATCTTGGTAATGTGAGTCAGTGAGGAGTCTTTGGGTTTGTCTGGAGTAAGCAGATTGACCAGAGTAGAATAAACATTAGCTCCTACCTCTGTCAAAAAGATTGCTTTCCTTTTCTCTTCAAGGACTTTTCTCTTCTCCGCATCCCCACCGTCGTCCATTAATTCATTTGCCAGAAAGAAGAAGTCCATTCTCTCACAGTAGGATGTGAAGTTCTCCTTGTCTGCATCATACTCCCCCAATCGTCCGATGTATCCACTGACGCCAGCCATGGTTGCTCTCTTCACTTAAATTCTCCAGGTTCAGAGTAGCCTTCTCTTCAGTGGTCACTATCCTCTCTTCAAGGACTTCACCAACACTTTGTGAATCCCATCCTCGTCGCCAGTGTAGTATCTTGCGTTATTTAATGGGAGAATGACAGTCACATGGTCTGTCTGACTGGTCGTTTATTCTCTGTTCTTGGTTACAAAGTGCCTAACACATTTCGTGTTTACACAAGCCTAAACACTTTCTGACTTTGGTAAGAAGTAACATAATATATAATATATATATTCAATAAAGGCAGCATATAAACATACATATATATAACAAGATACTCTACTCAAGATAGGAAAGCTCCAGCTAAAATATATGAAATGTGTGTATGGTACAGTTGCCAGATACCTCGACATTAGCGCCATCTATTGGCTGTGTCCAGAAGCTATTCTTGACGTCATAGACGTTGATGTGACGTCTTGAGTGATATTTTTTACGTTTTCCATTTATTTTAGACATATCAATCTTCATTTAGGTATACATGTATGTATACATATAAAGAGAGAATGAAAACCCTACTGTATAATTTTCACTGACTCCTTTGCCTCAAGATCTTAGATGAGTTCAGAAATTAAAAGACACAAAATCATTTCTTTTGCACAATTACCATACAGTTACTGCACGTGATGAATCACCTGTCATGCCGGTAAATAAATTTGGGTAATAAATGACCTTGTTTTCAACAGAGTTCTTGGCTATTAAAAGACATTTTTGTTGCTTATATTTATTGAAATAAACAAACACAAAACCAAACATTCAAGTTGTGTCTTGGTTACTAATGTATTATAATATTTCATCTAAGATGATCCATTGCCATAAAAATTAACATTAATTATCAATAATTAATATTATTATTAATTATATTAATCATGCACAATATATATACTATATATATATATATATATATATATATATATATATATATATATATATATATATATATATATATATATATATATATACAGTATATAATATGAAGGAAAAATCATTGAACAGTTTCTTTTCCTCGATGTTCACAAAAGACGATGCGAACAATCTTCCTGCGTTTGAGGACAGACGGTTTGAAAAAGCGCTGACCCACATTGTGTTTTCAGAAGATGTGAAAAGAAAAAATTGTCCCAGCCCTGATATGGTGCATCCCAGAGTGCTAAGAGAGTTGTGCAACGAGCTTGCTGAGCCCCTGAAGATCCTGTTCTGTAAATGCCTGGATGAGCAAAAAGTCCCCAGTGATTGGAAAATGGCACAGTGTGTAAAATACTTGAGAGCATTATAAGAGATACCATGATGGAACATCTATTACGAAACAACCTTACAAAGCATTGCCAACACGGCTTTATGCGGGGACGCTTCTGCTTAACACAAATATTCAAGGTAGTGGATGTTTGGACTCATATTCTGGAACAGGGTGGTAATATCGATAATATATTCCTAGATTTTGCCAAGACTACAAGATGTACTAAATATTATAGCTACAAGATGTACTAAATATTATAGCTACATGATGTACTAAATATTATAGCTACATGATGTACTAAATATTATAGCTACATGATGTACTAAATATTATAGCTACAAGATGTACTAAATATTATAGCTACATGATGTACTAAATATTATAGCTACAAGATGTACTAAATATTATAGCTACAAGATGTACTAAATATTATAGCTACAAGATGTACTAAATATTATAGCTACAAGATGTACTAAATATTATAGCTACAAGATGTACTAAATATTATAGCTACAAGATGTACTAAATATTATAGCTACAAGATGTACTAAATATTATAGCTACAGATGTACTAAATATTATAGCTACAGATGTACTAAATATTATAGCTACAAGATGTACTAAATATTATAGCTACATGATGTACTAAATATTATAGCTGATGTACTAAATATTATAGCTACAAGATGTACTAAATATTATAGCTACAAGATGTACTAAATATTATAGCTACATGATGTACTAAATATTATAGCTACAAGATGTACTAAATATTATAGCTACAAGATGTACTAAATATTATAGCTACAAGATGTACTAAATATTATAGCTACAAGATGTACTAAATATTATAGCTACAAGATGTACTAAATATTATAGCTACAAGATGTACTAAATATTATTGCTACAAGATGTACTAAACATTAAGCCCCATGATGTACTAAACATCTCAATTATCCAGGTAAAGGACAATGTACAGCTAAAACAGAATCAAACCTGAACAAATAACAAAATTAGAAAATTCTCAACCTATTCTCAGACCCCAAGGAATTTTTTAAGACAAAATGCCAGCATATACAATTGTATTAAGACCTCACTAAGACTCACATAGTGATAGTCTACTGGAAGACAAGTAAAATAAACATCGAAATATTGGAACAAATTACTATTGCACAAGAGCAGATGCCTTTAATTCACGTCTTAGAATTTTCCCAGTTGCCGACTTCGGTATTACATTAGTGAAATATACCCCACCTAACAACTGTTTGTGAGGGGCTACTTTTATGGCAACGTAGTCCGCAATGGCTTCCTCAGATAAGTTGGAGTTGGGCGTTAGCACCACATAGGCTCTAGGTACCTCTCCTAACCTGTCGTGAGGAAGACCAATCACCGCCACATCCTCTACCTCAGGGTGGCTCCTTATTAAATCTTCCAACTCAGCTGGGGCAACCTGAGGAGACACCATGGTGTAAGAGTTAAGTTATACCTGTATTAATAAATATTCACCTGTAACTGTATATGTATTTGGAGACTATCAAACAGTAGGGTCAATGATGTGTTGATGAAAGGTCATGAGGAGTAAGAGGGGTACACCAGGCAGCCATGAGGCTCCTTGGTGCAGAGCCTACCGCAACATACAACACCACAGGTGACTCCACATATAACACCACCAGAGGTGCCCCCACATATAACACCACCAGAGGTGCCCCCACATATAACACCACCACAGGTGCCCCCACATATAACACCACCACAGGTGCCCCCACATATAACACCACCACAGGTGCCCCCACATATAACACCACCACAGGTGCCCCCACATATAACACCACCACAGGTGCCCCCACATAAAACAGCACTAGATGTAGCCCTCCACATGTGCAACATCTGTAAACTACGCTGCCGGTCCTGTATCGGCCTCTCTAGTCACCTCATATCATTTTATCATAGCTGGATGATTGTCATACTCGATTCCGAGTGACTGCAAAATAGTAGTAAGTAGACATCATTCTTCCTCAGCTGATTAGTGATGCAGCTTCAGAACAAATCCAAATAGTAGGCCCTGGCACCACCCATATTGTAAATCTCAAATTGCCCAAGGATCTAAACTCCACACCTCCCTGGATCTCATTATATACACCCGAAAGATGAATAATTTAACCAGCAGAGAAAACACTTTAAACAAGAATTTTGGATCATCAGGTCAGGCTTCCAGACTATTTTAGTCATCCTTGACCTAAAACTTTGAGAAACATTATTATATTCTATAATGAATTAACATTGCTCACCTGAAATCCTTTTACTTTGATGAGTTCTTTGAGTCTGTCGACAATGTACACATTCTGGTCATGGTCCATCTTAGCAAGGTCTCCTGTGTGCAGCCAGCCATCTTCATCAATGGTTTCCCTTGTTGCCTTCTCATTCTTGTAGTAACCCTTCATAACCTATGGAAATATATCGAATTTAATATTTCACACAAAAAGAATACTGTAATCTCTCAGAAAATATAAAAGAACCTCACGTAAGCCCAATAGTCTGAAGTTATTTTGATCGAATTTACACTAAACAGTAAAGTACTGTATTAATTCATTAAAATTTATGTCGCTCTGAGTTGAATTAAATGCAACTAAAACTTACAAAGTAAAAACCCAAAACTACAGTACATCCCCACCGAAGCTACGGCAAGAATGATATGATGTGGTATTGATGTTATTTATTCACCATTCATGCACAGTCTAAGTGCAGTGTAATGCTTGTTGTATAAAGCCACAAACTTTCATGTTTATTTGTGTAGATTTACTATTCCTAGTTAGATCCTCAACCTATGCAAAGGACCCTACTGAAAATAAATGTCTGGTGCCCTTGCTGGCTAAGCTTGGTCGAATCTACTTACTTCTTACTATTGTTTGTATACCTGCTCTGTCTACGTACAGCATATTGTATTGTATACCTGCATTTTCTATATACATGTTAAACCAGTGGAAAGTTTCACGATAATTTGATTGAATAAATAGCATCTACAAGTACTTATGTGGCAGAAATACACACCTACTGAACCACACACTACCATCAACACCTTTCATCATGTTCTAAAAACCTCTGAGTTATGTCACAGTAAAGTAAACCCACTCATGGTGTTTACCTCCAATGATAAAATACAAAGCCTTATTTCTAACACCTGTACAGTATTTTTATTGTAATACTGGTAATACAGTTACTGTACTGTATTTGGCAATTGTACTCTGGCAGTAAATTTCCAGAAAGAAACTGAATAATGATTTCATTATCATCATCATAGCCAGCAGCAGTCCTCATCATCATCATCAAATACTCTCATATTCATTATTATTATGATCATCAATCATTATAACCATCAATCATCATTTACACCAGAATTTGGACCACCAGGCCTAAGATGTCTTAACTGCACAGTAAATCCTCTGTAACTGGCTGCAAACTGCTGTTCAGATCACTAGATTCACCCCTAAAAGTAACTTTAACTGTATACTGTAACATTAAAACTTGAACTTGTATCATATAAACAGCAATAACAAAAGCATATAATAGCAATACAGCAATGAAGGCATAAATGCTACAAGTTAGTGTACACACTGTGTCGCAGCCTCAGGGATGATTGCCGCTATGGCAACCAGCCCAGCTGGGATGCTGCCTGGGAGAAAATAGGTTCCATTCCCGAGCCTCTGAAGAGTCAAACAAGTCAGACGTCTGCCTTTCTCTCCCTTCTGCTAGCCACTATGTGGTTAAGGTTTGTGATCCTGTCTTAGGGAATGTTAGGTGGCAGTCAGTGGTGTTTATACTGACCCCCCCCCCTCCCAGTTAGGTAGGAAATGCATTTTTATTTTGTCTTGTACTCTTATATTGTACTGTAAATACATTTTAAGAAGGTAGATTTACAAAAATTTAACTGAAGTCTACCCTACTTAAAAAGCTAGCATAGCAATATTTACTGTTATCCAGCACTGTGTCTTTTGGGGTAAGTTGTGATAATACACAAGAGCTTAATGTAAAGTAAAAACAAATTAAAAGAACATACTTGTGGCCCCTTGACGCACATTTCACCTTCTTCATTAGCTCCAAGAGATTGTCCAGTATTGATGTCAACAATCTTAGCCACGGTGTTGGGGACGACAACTCCAGTAGAACCAATAACAAATTTGCCTTTAGGTGTTAGATGAGTCACTGGAGAAGCTTCAGTCATTCCATAACCTGAGGAAGAGTAAGACATTACCTCGCTTGTAATATATGATTACCACGACCACAAAAAACATACACAAGGTATGGGTATCCCTCATTTAACGATGGGGTTGAGTTCTTGAAAATCTAATGTTAAGTGAAATTATCACTAAACAAGAGATAACATCAAAGAATGGAAGGCGAACAAGTTAAAACGGGAAGGCAGTAAACACGGAATATTGTACAGTTCTATGTACCGCACACATTAGTACCGGTCTCCATAATCTCTTATGAATTATGTTACAGCTGCATAATAAACAAAATAATCTCTGTAGGTAGTATCTAAGTTTTCAAAGGTGTTGTGTCACAGATATTGGTAATTGCCACAAAGGGGTGCAAATTTCGTAGATTGTATTGAATTACGTTTTGTACGAATTATACCAGTGTCCACTCATATAGTCTTCAGGCTGTATATAGGCAGTATTAGGCAGTATTAAGGAAGAATTAAAAGCACCTATATGAGTGTTGGGAAGGCCCAATTTGTACTTACTAGTGTAATATTGTGAGTAAGTGAAACAACGTCTATAAATTATTTTGTTTACGTCTGTGTAAGATTAATAAACATAGCTATCTCATGAGACAGGTGAATATATACAAATATAACGATCTGATAAAATCATAAGTTATTAAATACAGTCGGCCCTTAACATTCGCGGGGGTTAGGTAACAGAGATACCTGTGAATGTTAAAAATCCGTGTACTATTGCTGCCCCCCCCCCTAAAAAACCCCTGGCCCCCCATGTCCTTATTTACCGTATATACCTGTGTGTAGTTCGAGTTTTTAAGACCAAATTATTTGGCAAAAATTGGGGGTCGACCTCTAAACGGGTAATAGTTTCGTTAGGTTGAAAAATATTTACCAGTAACTACCAGTAAACAATGGAAACGATGCACCAACACACCACCAGCTGTGAGTGTCGGGTGTCGGTACAGTTGCCAGGGCAGACCTCTTGCGAGCCCAAAGTAGCCAAATCCATGGTATGGTGGCACAGGACGATGTAAAACAAAGTATTCATTTATTAAAGTTAATTTATAGATACTGGACATAAATTTTTGTTCATTACATTTGAAACATCAATCTTTGTTAATTAAATTTGAAACAAGAGAAAACTACGATACTGGATTTTCATTAAAATATTACATCACAAGTATATTTTACCTTAACTGTGACTGAATGAATATATTCTCAGAAATAAATATGGAAATGTAATATTTTTGCTGGAATGACGTACATATTATAGTGGGAAGTGGGATAAAATCATGACGAAAGACTTTCGCTTTCTTTCGTTGTTCAAAAGATGTTACCGTAATCGCTTTTCGAATGGTATTCAGTTAAAAAACTGTTGTACTCATACTGTATTACAATAATATTCTATCCTATCATTAGCCTTATAATCCCACAACCGAAAACCATTCGAAAAGCGATTACGGCAACATCTTTTGAACGAAAGAAAGCGAGTCATTGCTTTCGTCACTTTCCACTGTAATACGTACATCATTTCAGCAAAAATATTACATTTCCATGTTCTCAGAAATAAATGGCAGTTTTGTTGAAACGTAATGTAAAGTATTTAACATTAAAATGCAAAAATAGCTATAAAAACAATTAATACACCCGTAATGTACTGGCTGGCATCTCCACTCGTCCCTGCTCCCGCCAGTCACCTCCTCCCCGCTCTATCCCTCCACCTCCTCCCCGCTCTATCCCTCCGCCTCCTCCACATCGTCACTCCTGTTGTATTACAATAATATTCTATCCTAATTGACTTGAATAAATACTACGATACCATATTTCTGAATATTTTCATTAAAATCCATCCAAATCATTTTCCTTGCCATCGTCTGCAGCACCAAACAGCTTCTCCCAGTCCTCTCCTTGAACAGGGCTAGAGGGTACGTGTTTTTCGAATCATTTTCAATTAAAAAAATGTTACATCACACGTATATTTTACCTAAACTGCGCCTGAATGAATATATTCTTGGAAATAAATAGTACTTTTGCTGAAACGTGATGTATTTCAATGTAAATTAGGATAAAATACATGACGAAAACAAGAGACTTTACCTAACCTTCCGATGTTCAAGAGATGTTACTCGTTTTTTTAGTAGTTTTCGGTTAAAATACTCTTATATTAGTGATATTCTATTCATACTGTGCTTGATATAATACATTCACGGAAATGTAATATTTTTGCAACTACAATGCTGATGCCAACACAAGTGTGGTTACAGCGAGACTGACTGAGTGAGGGAGAACTATGCGTGTGTGTGTGAGGTTGCGGGAGCGGGTGGTGTCCCGTGTTCGGTGCCGCGCGCGAGTTGAATGGCGCGCGATTTGAATGTACTTCAATTACTTCAATGTACAGAATATTCCTCTGGCGGGGCAATCCGCGTATTTGCGAATCCGTGAATGCTAAACCCGCGTATATGAAAGGCCGACTGTATACATATGTGAAATGTTGGGGATGACCCATAAACTACGTTAAAGAGAAATAACCTTATTTACGTCTGTGTGAAGTTAATACACGTAGTAATCTCATTTGATAGATAACCACGGACAGTGCCATGATTCGAGAGTGGTAAATGTTTGTGAAGAGATGAGAATAACTCATAAACTGTGCGTAAAGTGAATTGAAATATACCGAGCCAGCTAACAATACTGTTGTGTGAGAGGAACCCACAGGTGTAGTGGGACATGCTTGTGGCCATTGTGCAGTCTCCCTAAAGATCTCTGGATGACTCAAGCTCATTGCACCCTATGTGTGTTGGAGATGTGTTTGGAACAACTGTACTCTGAGGTGCTGTTATTACTGTAGTGACCTAAGTATTAAGGAAGCAGGAATGGTACTAGTAAGATTGTGTGTAGTGAAGTACCTGTACCTAGTCTACTTTGCAAGAGTATACGATGAGAAGGAGATCCGTTCCGTGTTAACTGGGTGCTGAGAGTAAGCTACAGTACACTACCTGTCTGTATTAATTAATGTGTTGTCTTGTTGTTCCTCTTATTCAGTTGCAATTTAGTGACTGACTCCTGGTTGGTTGGTGATATGGAGAGAAGAGAGCATTAGCTCTGAGGGTACAAAAAGGGTACAGTACAAGGTAAAGTTCAGAAGTGGGAAATATAGGAGGAGGTTGACTACCCTGCTCACGGGTGTTTATATACGTCTCGTCAGATGCCTAGCACAATCCAGACAGGTCTAGAAAGTTCTAGTACGTGCTACTCTGAAGGAGGCTTACGATAAGAAGTAAATCATAAAAAAAATGATGCAATACATTCTAAAATAATCCCACATAATTAATACATCAATATATATACACGGAAATCTTCCTAAAATTGCAAAAATAACTGCTGCTTGGGACAGAAAATAATCAAAACACCTAGTTTACTAAATTATGCTTCGGCATAACACTATTACCAGAAGAGTCATTATACATATTATTTACTTATTGTATAATCAAAGACATTTCTCGAGTTGTGAATAAATTAATATAGCACAGTTAATGCAGCTGCCTCAGGTTGTGGATGGGTGAAGATGTAGTGGATACTCTCCCCTACAACTTCTGGTTGATCACTTGCGGTCTGCTTACCAGCGAACCAGTGGCGAGTTCCAAATGTGATAGACCTCACTTTCGGACTGCGCGGTGATTGACCTGTTATCGCCTTAACCTCAGCCAATCAGCAGCGCCGCTCATTTCAAACCTCTCAACCTGATCCGGCAGAATCATATAAATACCCCCCAGTCTCGCCGTGAAGGTCTTGAACTAACACAATCCGGAGGAGTGGTGACCCGAGGATCACACACCCAACACAGACAAAACCCAATACGTGCGCCATGTGCTAACCAAATAAACGCAGTCGTGTAAAGCCACGGCACTATCTCTCCCACTACAATTCCCTTCCTAACCTCCTGCTCCTTCCTCTGTCATGTTCCCCGCTCTGACTTTCGCTACCAACAACTTTTGGAGCTTCTAAACTTGAACCGTGAAGGTCGTTTTACTCAATGCTCTCAAACAGACAAGACCTCCTCTCAACAAGCTCCTCACCACACAGCAACTCCCTAACACTGCATTGTACACTCGCACCAAAAAGTATCACTGCAGGGTGTGATCGACGACTTACGAAATGATGCATACACTGTGATATGTCGGGAAGGTTGGTAAGTGTATCCTCATAACCCTCCCCCCCCCCACTAGGTGTTGCCATATGGCTGACAATCAGTGTGTTTGTTTCCTCTTTTCGGATTGTTGCTTTGTGTCGACTGAATGATGAGCGAGGGTTCGGTCTCGGTGAACGTGGGTATAAAACAGAGGCAATATGAAGCAGTAGAGATCTGCACATGCCAGATGACATGGAAACCTCAGAGGGAACACGAGGAGCTATTATTGCCCTTCATAACAAAGGGTTCGGCGTCACAGATTAGCCAGCGGGTTGGTGTCCACAGGAACACCGCTGCACGGTGGATTCGGCGATACCTCGAAACTTTCTACATGACCGCAAGCAATGTGTGGTGATTAATGGCACGAAATCGTCATCTGTACCTGTAACAAGTGGGGTACCGCAGGGTAGTGTATTGGGCCCGCTGTTGTTTGTTTGTTTCATAAATGATATGCCTGACGTTGTACACTCCTCCATACAAATGTTTGCCGATGACGCCAAGTTATTTCGGGAAATTAAGAACCAAGCGGACTGTGAAGAGCTGCAGAAGGACCTCTGTGGGCTCCAGGAATGGTCGAAGGAATGGCTGCTGAGATTCAATGTCACGAAGTGTAAGAGGATGCACCTGGGGCGTACCAACGGTAAGGAGGCGTACCATATGTCCCAACGGGATGAAGAAAATGTACTAGTTGAGACTGTGTGTGAGAAGGACCTAGGTGTGTATGTTGACAATGAGCTGAAGTTCTCGGGCCATTGTGAGAAGAAGGTAAATCAGGCAAATAAATTATTGGGTCTTATAAGAAGGTCGTTCAGATATCTAGACGGTCCGTCCCTCGTGACGATCTTCAGGAGTGAAGTGCTTCCCCATCTGGAGTACTGTCACCCCATCTGGTCCCCGAGATATGCTAGGGACTGTCAGTTGGTTGAAAATGTTCAAAGGAGGGCCACCAAGCTGGTGCCTGCACTTCGGCATCTCAGCTACCCTGCGAGATTGGAGCGCCTGAACTTGCCTAGCTTATACTACAGACGGGCAAGGGGGGACCTAGTTGAGGTTTATAAGCATCTCAGGGGGCACTACTCAGTTGAGTGTCCTTACTTGGAGCTGGCGGACGCTCGCCCCACAAGGGGTCACAGCTCAAGATTGAAGAAGCCGCAAGTCCGGAAAACCGTGAGGGCAAACTTTTTCGGAGTGAGGGTTGTAAACTCTTGGAACAATCTACCAGAAAGTGTTGTGACGGCACCGAGTGTGAGCTCTTTCAAGAGAAGACTTGACCAACACTGGAGCGGGTTCAGGTACATTCAGGAGCCGGTGCATGCCCAGTATTTGCCAACAGTGCGTGACAGAGACGTGACCGATCGCCCGGGCGGCTAGCGAGCCGACCTTTTGGTGAAGAATATAAAGGAAAAGAGTCGTGACCGATCGCCCAAGCGGCTAACAAGCCGATCAGTGGCGAAGAGGATAAAAGTAAAAGTAAAAGAAACTGGTGCTACAGACGACAGGTCTCGGAGCGGCCGTCCACGCTGCACCACCCCTCAGGACGACCAGGTTGAGTGGTTTATTTGGTAGCATAAATTAATGTAGCAATATTCACAAGTATCACAAATAATTTTGTTAACAGGGAGCTCCTCATATTTCATACTGTCTATTTATCACTTCCCGACCTTATTTATAAGGGTTTGTTTCACTTGACCAGGGCTGCCAACATAAAGCTGGAACAACTCGCCTTTCCCAATACCAATCGTCACTGGTCTCAAATTGTTCACACTACAGTATGCACGGATATTTTTTGTTGCGAGTGTACATAATATATATATATATATATATATATATATATATATATATATATATATATATATATATATATATATATATTTGACAACTGGCCACATACAACACGCTACAAAGTGAGCAACTCTAAGTAACATCTTACAGCTGTACATTATTTGACAATAGATGTACAACCTCTAAACTTATCCCTGAATTATAAGTGCATTTATGTTTCTATTGTAATTGCAGGAAGCTTACCATGATAATATTGTGACTCATGCTGTCATTACCATACATATATTATACACTGCCAAATTAAGGCGTTAATGTGCGTATCTCTCATCAGTATGTCAATGGTTCGAGTCCTGCATGGCCCGGACACACATTAGAAGGGTGACCCTCACTACCAAATATCACAGGTTTCTGATACTCTGGTTTCCTCTTGTACTAACACTGGTTAGTCCGCCCAGACGGCTAGTAAGCTGATAAGTGGTGACAATTATAGGAATAAAAATAAACATATCACCAACAGGAGTGCAAGAGAGAGAGAAATAAAGTGTGTGTGTGTGTGTGTCACAATAATATAAAAACATGCTTACTACAGAAGTTCAGGTGTCAAACACTAACCTTCCTGGAAATTAATCCCGTCACCAAATTTCTTGAAGAATTCTTCAATAAGTGTTGGACCTGCAGGTGCAGCACCACAGGTCATGGTGTGTGTTGGTCCAAGGTGATGAGGTTTCACTAAGTTGCTTTGAGTTAGGAAGTTAATAATAGGTGGAACTGTATGAAGGTACGTGATCTGTAAATTATAAATAAGTTAAAGAATTTTCAAAAAGAAACAATACCAATGAATAATTCATCGGGTTCTTGTTTATTCACCAGTGAAGCCCTTTTGTGCAGTGTGTGTAAGTTACGGCCGTAGAACAAGAAAGGAAAGACAAGTTCACAATTTTGGTTTTGTTTATTTCAAATGTAACAAAACAAATGCAAACAATTACAATTGTTGTTGTATTTCAAGTAGTTTTTTTAGTTTTGTAAGAATTTTCCTTAAAACGAGGTGGAAATAATAACGGGAGTGATACAAGTGTAGAAAGTGAAGTGCTGAGACAACTAGTAGAAATATTCTTGCACACTTGTTTATAATTATGAAAATTGTCACTGGTAAAACTTTCTTACCTTGTACTTCTCCAGAACATGAACAAATGATTTAGGATCAAATGTTGGGACTGTTACAGACTTAGAACCTGTAATAAGTGAAAGTCCCAAACAAGGAACCAGCCCATAGATGTGGAAGTATGGCAGGATCCCCATGAATACCTCCTGATAGTCCACTGAAAAGGGTAATAGTACATTAATAGTATAAAACTACTAATACTGTGACATTGGCATAATAATCATAGATGGACATTAGAGTGGTCCTTATTTTCGAAGTTGGAATTTTTTTAGGTCTGACCCTTGCAAAAGCTTCCATTTGTCACAACACTGTGCAAAGTTTCATAAAAAAAATATTTCAAGGTTGCATAATGACTTGGAAATTTCACCCATATAACACTGCTGTGAGTCATATTTTTATCCTCTTCACCACTGATTGGCTCGTTAGCCGCTTGGGCGATCGGTCACGTCTCTGTTACGCACTGTTGGCAAGTACTGGGCATGCACCGTGTGTATGGCTCCCAGTTGCTTAGCATTCCAAAAATTCCTTCAGGTACCGGTGATACCCAAGCAAATGCTGTTTTTGAGGCTCTTGAAAAAGTGGGGACTTAAAAACCGAGCTTGCAGAATGTGCTTCGATACTACAAGCTCCAATACTAGCTGCAACAAAGGAGCTTCTGTAATTTTAGAGCATTTGCTTGGTTGAGACCTACTGCATATTGGTTGTCGGTACCACATCCTTGAGCTAGTGGGTGGTGCTGTTTTCAATGAAGCAATGGGTACAGTACTTCCTCTTTCCCAGAAATCCTGGTCTTCAAACGATTCCAATCCTACTGGATGAACATCGACCAAGAACGCTTTGAAGACTTTTTAACAGACCAGCAGGTTACTGAAGCCATTCCTGACGTCAAGGAAGATGGTTAGATGGGTTGAAGTTTGTGCATAATGTTGGTGTTGGTGGTACAGCGGTAATGTGCCTAACTCTCACCAATATGTCAAGGGTTCGAACCTCGGCTCGGACACACGTGAGAAGGGTGTTATCCAGTGTGACCCTCACTACCAAACACCACAGGTTTACCGGTCCCCGGTTTCCTCCTGTACTGACACTGGATAGAGCGCCCAAACGGCTAGTAAGCGAATATGATAAAAAAGAAAAAGTCCTGATTGACGAATATCCCTAATATGACTACAGGGAATTTTTGGAGCTCACATTTCTACTGTTTCTAGGATCTGCACCTGCTTGTGGCACACGATTTCCAGCTCCTGGGGCAATGTACTATGACCGGTGGATGGCAAACGTCATTAACACTTTCAAAGTTTGGATGGTTTGATCACAGTTCAAACTTTCCAAACGGGAGGAGACAGCACCTCGCAAAGAGATCTTAAAAGGTCCACATTGGGATTTCAAAAGAAACTTCTAAAAAGATGGCCGGCCATATGTGCCTTTTGTCAGAAGAATTGATAACCCTCTTTTTTTCGATGATGATGTGACCCCCCCCCCCGACATGAAAGATCAAATGGTAAAGGCCATGGCAGAGATGGAACGAAGAGATAAACCTCCCAAACGAGTCACTGTTGATTTACATGTCATAAAAGACAAGACCCTGGATTACTTCACGACAAAAACAACCTATTCTTTGAAAAAATGAATATTCCACTTGGCTTTCTAGAACTCCCAGCATCTTAGTGGGACAGTAATGAGTGTTACATACAAGCAAAGGAAATCTCAAAAACTTTGGCTGTCACGAATGACCACACTGAGCGTATGTGTAGCTCTTGTACAAGAATACTCCACTGTAGGGTGTGTCATAGGAGGGAAGATCAGCTAAAACTAATGGCCCATCACTTTTTTGGTAGATTTTAGTGTATATAAACAGAAAATAATTTCAGTTTCAATATTTTGCAACCTTTTGTTAGGTAAATTTTAGCGTGAAATTTATCGAAAATCTAACGTACAGCTGCATTAGTGCATTTCAATTAAATAGTGAACATTGCTTTCTGACTTCATTCTTTAACAACCCAACTAACAATATTTTTTTCTGTTTCAGATTCTGATGCATTTATAAGTTGATAATATTTGCGATGGCTGCTTGTGTCAGGACGAGGAACCAAAAATCCAGCCATCTCAGTCACTATCTTGGGTCTGGGAGAGAGCTCCTGAAGTCGGAGTTGCCTACATTGAGAGATGCTTTGAGATACGGTGTTTTAATCAGGCAAATCAGTGAAAAGAACCAAAGAGCTTACACAAACAAAGACATTGCCAGTGATATGACCAAAGCTGTCTTGGCACAGTACACTCTGGCTAACGCTCAGTTCAAGCCTCCAGTCATAACAAGTCAGAAGAAGATTAGTGAGAGACTGCTAGCCAGTTGGGAAAAGGCAAGAGATATCTCTCTTGGGAGAGGAAAACTTGCAGTTAAGGACAGCTTTGCCAAGCAACTGGACCAGTTATTTGACATAATTACTTGCAAGTGCCCAATTGTTCTCTGTCCTGAGTTTGGATGCGATCGTGACTGTAAATCCGAGGCCCACATCTCCTGTATTTGCAAGCGTGAACTGAAGATTCCTGTGATCGAACTGGCATTTGTCAAAGCACAGAGAGAGAAGACTGGCAGTATAGGGGCTCTCATGATTTCTAGCCAAGATATTCCGGAGTCCAAGAGACAGGAGGCTGCCACAGAGAGACAGAAGAGGAGAAGAGTTGCCGAGGAAAAGAGACTTGAGAAGGCCCAGGGTGAGGTAAAAAAGGCCGATGATTGGAGTCAAGCTGATTCAGAGTTTAATGACTTCCCCATGGCTGATCCGAGTGCTGACCAGGAGAATGGTGACTTTGTCCCTAACCCAGAAAATAATGATCCCAAACCTTCCAGGCATAAGATTCGAAATAGGAAAGATATCCCGAGCATAGCTCTGGCCAGCATGCGACACCACACTGGTCTCAGAGAAACTGCAGAGATAGCAACAGCTGCCTGGGTTGACGGTGGTTTGATAACACCTGATGATGTTCACCTGGTGATAGATCATAACAAAGTAAGGAGAGCTCAGGAGAAACTTGTCAGTAACCTAGAAGAGGAGTTTGATAAGGGGATAAGAGAAAATGGAATCAATTGTTTGTTCTTTGATGGGAGAAGGGATGACACTAAAGTGTTCATGAAAGTTGGAGATTCTGACAAGTTGTTCCCTGCCATGGTGAAGGAGGAACACTACTCCTGCTGCAGTGAACCAGGAGGGAAGTATTTGTGGCATTTCACTCCAGAGAAAGATGAAATCAGGAAACCAGCTGAGATAGCGGCAGATAACATTGTGAACTGGCTCAGAGAGAGGAACGTAGACCAGACCCTGCAGGCCATTGGAGGGGACAGCACCAACACGAACACAGGGTGGCAAGGGGGGTCATACAGTGGATAGAGCGGAAGATTGGGAGGAAGCTGGTCTGGATTGTTTGTGACCTCCACACCAACGAGTTGCCACTCAGACATCTGATCCAGGAGCTGGATGGCAAGACTCTTTCAAACAACAGATGGTCTGGTCCTCTTGGCAAGATGCTGGACTCTGCCACTGAGTTAGAAATAAATCCGAGCTTTGAAAAAATCACAGTTGGCCCTCCACTCGTTGAGCTTGCACATACTGTCATTGACGACCTGAGTACTGACCAGTACTATGGTTACATGATTTGCAGTGCCATCAAAACTGGGGTCATGCCTGATAGACTTGCTTACCTGCAGATAGGTCCAGTCTCACATTCTAGGTAGCTCACAACGGCTCTCAGGTTCTGCAGAATTTGGGTCGCTCATCATAAACTGAAAGGGAACCAGCTTCACAACCTGAGACTTATTGTCCAATTCATCGTGAGTGTCTACTTGCCAAATTGGTTCAACACCAAGGTCAAGTCATCGTTCTCCGAAGGTCCGAGGCATGTTCTCTTCTAGCTTGAGCTCCTGAGGAGTCAGCCAAGGAAGGTTGTTCAGATTGTGGAGCAGACTGTGAGGAGATCTTCCTGGTATGCTCATCCCGAGGCAGTTCTGCAGACAATGCTCTGCAGTAAGGATGAGGAGGAGAGAAGAGTGGCAGTCAAAAAGATCTTGGATATGAGACTTATGAGAGGATCTGGGCATGACGAATCAGTTGGTGACGATTCCTTCAGGGTCAGGAAGACTCCTGAAGTCAATCTAGGTGCCAAGACCCTCACTGATCTCATAGATCTGGATAACATCCAGGCTGGCAGTGAGCCCCCTCTTACCTGCAGCCTCACCAATGTTCAAGTCAGAGCTTTCCTGGACAACCCCATGCATGTCCCTGCCTGGCCCTCGCACACCCAGAGTATAGAGCGTTGTGTACAGCAAGTGAGCGAGGCCAGCAGTCACGTGTACAGCCAGGAGAGGAGGGAAGGCTACATCCGAGCTCAGGTGGTCAGCAGGGAGGTGATGAGTAGAAACAGAAGCAAGAAAGACATGTTCTCTATGGTGTGCAGCAACACCGGGTTGTAGTAGTAAAACCGGTTTTTGTATTTGATGATTTTGTTTTCTAAAGGAATATTAAATTTAATAAATGTGTCAAGATCATTCGTTTCACTATTCTGGATCATTTTCATCCTAATAAATTAACCTGATACATTTACTTACTTTAAATAAGCTATTTAGTGGTGTTGGTAAAAGGGTGGGAATACTGAATTTTCATAAGATTTCAAGTTAAAATTTACCTAGCAAAAAATAAAAACTTTTCAAATCTGAAGATATCACATGATTCTGCACATAGAACTACATCATTAATACCATGGGCCGATTTTTCAAACTCAAAAAAAAAAATTCGCCTCCGTATGACACCCTAATACTCCAGCCATATAACAAAGAATGAAGAGCAGCTGCAATATCTGTTACAAGTCGTTACTGACTACAGAAGACAATTTTCTAAAGCCCCAAGAGATTGTTAACTGGGCATCAATGACCAGCGGATCACCGTGATACCTCTGTTTTAAACAAACAATACCCACATTTGTGTGGGGGGGGGGACTGGGACTGTTAGGTGATGACTCACAGCAGTGTTACAGGGGTGAACACTCCAAGTCATTGTGCAGCCTTTAAATATTAATATATTTTAATGAAACTTTGCACACAACATTCTTATGATAAATTGAAGCTTTTCAAGAGTCAGACATAAATATTTAAAAACAAAATTTTCTCTCTCTCTATATATATAAACCACCCGAATGAAGTTGGGTCATGAGAACTAGGTGCAAGCTTGGTAAGAAAAAAGTATCACACACACACACATGAGCATACACGCACGGGCGACTGTATATATCCATGCAACAGTAAATTCCTTTGTCAATAAACACCCAGTGAAAATATTACAGTAGTATTAGTAACATTAAAAATCTAGCTACTTTTATAGTGCTATTCATAAAAACCTATCAGAGACGTTACCGAGAACAAATTCCTGCTTGAAAGTCATGTACGTACACTAATACTGACACGTTCCTTGATAAGAGAGAGGAGTTTGAAACACTACTGAAGGTACACCAACCTGATATTGTGGGAGTTGTAGAACTGTTATACAAGAACAGGAGAATCGACCCAGAGGAATGTGGATTCAGTATTGGCGGATATGACTCATTTACGAACCTTTCTCAAGAAACTTGCAAGAGGGGTATGGTTATCTATGCTAGACAAGACCTTGGAGCCAGCCAGGCGAGGGTACAGGGAGAGGATGTTTTTGAAGAATCCAAGGGATGTAAAATTGAAATAAAAGGAGGGGACTTACCTATTGTCGGGTGTATCTAGAGATCCCCAAACGGTAGCTTACTAAACCAAAGGAACTTGCGAGCCGTAATAGACAATGCAACGATGCTCAACCCTAGCCACCTCCTTATCATGGGGGACTTTAACTATGGCGACATCGACTGGAGAAATGAGTTCACGCCAAATAACGTGAATAACCCTGCTAATCTTTTTGTAGAAACTCTGAGAGATAATTTTATGTTCCAACATGTTAAAGACCCGACACATTACAGAGGGGAGCAAACACCCAAGCTACTGGTCCATAGCCAAATGACTTTTGGGGGAATAGGGGTTTTGATTATGATGAAAAGTATGATGAACTGGATGATGGTTGCACGTGAGTTGACTTATGTGGTGAGGCAGGAGCGCAGGCTGCAACCACACATGTTAGCTCTCCCTTTTGCTGATCCAGTGGTGCAAGAGTTGCAACAACTGGGGAGAGAGAAAGTTACAATGGACTGCCGATAGCCCAGTTTGTTGGGTTTCGCTTTAGTAGCCTGTCTATCATGCATTGCCTTCATCCGCCGGTGTAGTCGTTCCATGGTGGTCACCTCTTCCTTCTATACTGCCGCTGGGGTCTTGTTGGAGCTCTGTAAGCATGTCTGCCTGATGCGGGGCTCCACTGCAGATTTTTCGTTCGGGGTTTACTCCCGTAGCCTTATACTTGCCAAGGTTAATCCGCAAGGCAGCGGGGCAGTGGTTGTAGGTGCCAGGACGTGTCCACATACAAGTGGGCCTATGTGCCTTCCTTCTGGGGCCCACTACTTCATCACACATCACCATCACCACACCTCACCACCCCAGCATCACCACCCAGCATCACACATCATCACCACCCAGCATCACACATCATCACCACCACCACCACCCCGACATCACTCATCCCCACCACCACCATCACTACACCTCACCACCACCACCCCAGTATCACACACCACCACCACCATCCAGTATCACATATCACCATCACCACCCAGCATCACACACCACCACTACCTATGCTTCCATAATCAAAGTACAGAGACAATCACATTAGTTCAAATAAAAATTCAATACAGACCGACTCACCTGACTGACACCTAATATTACTGAATCCTTTGTGTAAAATTTGCTGGAGGTTAGCTACAAGGTTATTATGTGTCAGCATAACGCCTTTGGGGTGTCCTGTGGTGCCAGAGGAGTATGGTAGCACTATTAGGTCCTCCAGTGGGTCAATCTGTAGGTGAAAATAGCCAATGGGAATACTGGATCATCTGAAGATTAGCCCATAGTTTATTTCACCTGATTATTATTATTAAGGTCCCTAATACTACCTAGGTTAGGTTAGGTTAGGTTGGAGTAGCAAAACATCTGCGACACACATCCAACACACAAAATAATTGTGTCAAGCAGGAGCACCTGGCTATAAAACCATGCTGGCAGTCCTTTACAGAGTTGTTTCATAGTAGATGTTCCATCGCAGCATCTCATATGATGATATCTCGTACTTTACAGACTTTGTTGGTCAAACTCACCGGCCAGTAGCTATCACCCTGTTTAGATATAGGTCACATACGACATTTTCCAGCTGCTAGGGACCTTTAGCCTATCCAAGTATCTGCAGAACAAATTGAGCTGCTTTTCAAGGGGCTCTGTGAGCTCTTTGGGATGTGTAATATAAGGGTCAAATTGAGATTTGGCAATTTGGTTCTAATACACCCCTCTGCCAGCTGAGTGTATGTTAGTGCTGTGTCAAACTATTTTTCTTCACATGCAGGGAGGTTTTTGCATTCTCTCTTGTGAACAAAGAGAAAATTAATTTATTTAACACCTCTGCCTTGTACTGGTCTGAGCCTGAGTAAGATCAAATCTTTAATTTAGATTTTTCATAGTGGTAAAAAGCCTGAGGGGCTGACATGGCCTCGTTTACAATCTGCCTCTGGAACTCACTCATCCCTTCTGCACTCGGACTTGATTTGGTTCCTGGACCTAATGTACATCCTTCTGTCTTGCTCATTTTTTTATTTTATTTTTTATTTTTTGCAAACCATCTCTTGAAATTTTGTCTGTTGTTTGAAGCTCGTGAGGTTAAAATAAGTCACCTAATAGTGTATCAGAAAATTTAGGGGCCTACCATAAAAGAGTGCCCAGGGCCTACAAAACCCTTAACCCGGCTCTGGTAGTGGCTGTGAACTTGTTTGTGGATCTGGCCTCATTTCATTCTCAGTAGATGCTTTACCCCCCTCGACCAGCATAAATTAGGGTGTTAAATCATCAGCTGAAATAAGCTGAAGCACTAAACATAAAATGACAGTTGATAGAGTAATAGTTCATTATGTAAATTTAACATAAAGTTTCAAGGTAAGATGACACTCACCGGGATGTTATGTGGGAAAGCTTTGCCATCATCTTTGAGAAGGTGTTGTAGTGACAGCTGTCCTTCCTGTGCTGGTCCATTAACTATTATGTATCGTACACCTTTGTATATCTGACACGCCTCTTTTACTTTGGGTAGTAACTGTGGGTCTGTCACAACAGCCGAGGCTCCTGAGTTCTCCATCTGCATGGCAATTTCTTCTGTAAATTAAAAAAAAAAAGAGACAACTGAAGGTGATGCAACTCTCAGACATAACGTAAGTGGGGTAGCTAGACTACTTATGGCTGGCTTAGTCATCTTCATATATATATATATATATATATATATATATATATATATATATATATATATATATATATATATATATATATATATATATATATATATATATATATATATATATATATATATATATATATATATATATATTTCATGTAAATCCACAATGAAAACGTGGATAAGATAAATCTTGATAAAATCACACGGGAAAATGGAAACAACGGAGCACCTTAGCTTTCGTCTTTATTCAAGACATCTTCAGAGGCAACTGGACTACATGGACAGAGAGAGGCTTAAATATACAGGGTGACCTTAAAAACATGAGGTCAGGTCATAATGATGTCATCCACTAATCCCCACACCAACACACACGTAGAGGAGCTTAAGAGAAGGGGGTTGACGTGACTAGTCAGGTCAGGTCAAAAATAAGGGACCCACAAAATAACTATCATACATCTAGATCAAAGGTTTTCAAAGCATTTTAAACCTTGGGCCACTGACAAATAAATTTATGTAACATATTATCAGTTTTGAACTGACCATCACTTAAGTTTATTGATTTTAATTCCTTAATCAAACTAGCTTCAACCAGAAGTCTTTCTGTGACACAAGATGATTTAAATACTTCTAAGCTTTTTCTCAAGCAATGGGGTGATTATTATTCCTAACATGAACGAACAAGGCCCTGCTTTCAGATGCAGTTCTGATATTATACTTATGTTGTTTGATTCTAAGCTGCGGTGTTTTTCATGTTTGTCCTACATAATTACAATTACATTTGCTACATGGAATACAATAAGCACTTCCATTTACATTTAAACTTGGGCTATTCCTTATTAACATATTGGTAATGGTTGAGTCATACTTGAAAACAACATTAATATTTATAAGCTTGAGAGACCGAACTAACGGGACAAATTCATTACGATAGGGCAGAGTCAAAATATTCTTAAGTGTAGGAACATGTCTGGTTTGAGAGGAATGAAAGGATTTTTTAGCCCTTTTAAAACAACGATCAACAAACACAGAAGGGTACCCGAGTTTCTGTGCAATGGAACGAATGTGTTCCAATTCATCGTCAATAAATTCAGAGTCACAAATACGCAGACATCTTAAGAACATAGTAGAAAAAACTGACATTTTGGTAGACTCAAGGTGATTCGATAAATAGTGAATGAAACTGTCTACCTGTGTGGGCCTTCTATATACCTTAAATTTATAGTTTTGGCCATTTCTCATGATAAGCATATCAAGGAATGGAAGGGATCCATTTATTTCTCTTTCAATTTTGAATGTGATACTTGGGACAATATATATATATATATATATATATATATATATATATATATATATATATATATATATATATATATATATATATATATAATATATTAAATTTTTGTGTATATTATATATACCTATACAGTTAACAAAAAGCAAAACGATATTATAAATGCTATGATAAAAATTAAATATTAATATCATAAAAGAAAAACACCAAGAGTTATATTCCACGTAAAAATCGATGTGTCGTCTAGCCTCCCCTCGTCTTGTCACGATGGAGACTTGTGCAGAACTGAAGTGAATTGCTTGTAACTGGTGGATTGGTCGGCTGTACATGAACTGATATGACCCGAGACTGCATGGTTTTGCAGCTACTGGAGACGTTAATCCTTCCCTTTGTATCGGCGGCAAGTTAATCCTCGTCGTGTCTGACCTAACACCTGACCCACACCACATGAGCTCACTGGCGTACTTGTTTGAAGTTGTTTCCTTAATCCTCAACAGGTTACAGGTTGTGTGTGTGGCGGGGGGGGGCGTGATGATGTGGGTCAGGTGTTAGGTCAGACACGACAAGGATTAACTTGCCGCCGATACAAAGGGATGGATTAACGTCTCCAGTAGCTGCAGATATGGGTGATGAGCAGACCCAAAAGTGTGCCCCCCAAAGTGCCGGACGGACGCCCCAGCTACGCTAGTGACTCCGTCAGACTGACGCTTTGTAGGAGCGTGTGGGTGGGAGTGGTGAGAGAGAGAGTCGTGAGAGAGTGAGCGGAGGGCCACCCTGCGCTGTACGCAGGAGAGACGTCTATGTGAACTGGTTTCCTTCGTTTATTCAACATCAGTTTTAACAAGTGAGTTTTATTCAATCTCTCGGAGCTTAGATTGGGCGGTAGGAACAAACATTAAGTGAGTACAATAGCTAACAGAGGGTATTTGCAGGGATTCTGCAGAGCCCACATCAATATGAACGTCCACACACGTGCTGTATGAAACGTCCACAAACTGTACACATCCATTTCACCTGAGTTGAGCCACCGAGCTGGAGTATGGTGAGAATTGGAGTGAAACCAGCTGTCTGGGTATACAACTAACGACGTGGGACCATCATCTGTCCTTGGTTGACGATCGTTTGGGGTCGCCAGATCTCTCAACCTCGGTTCATAATACCACATATCTTCAAGCAGTTTACTGTAGTGAAAACATCTTACTTACGGGAAGCTAAAACTTCTCTCAACTGAACAAGGTGTGACTGGTTCAGTCCCTTCCGTTTCATGGATGTACTGAGTGTAAAGTGAGGCCAGCTGAGTGAATGAATGGTCACACACTGAGACCAGGAGTCTAGTGGAACTTAGAGGTACATTTTCCAAGGTTGAGACGGGTTTGTTTGTGCTTTAAACTACGGGTGCCTGCTTGGTCGTGCCTTAAGAAATTATGGGTGCATGTGGAATCTATGTGTAAGGTTAAGGAGCATGTGTTTACGGGTATTGGTGGACTCACTAACTTCTTAATGTAGTGATAATATTTTGCAGTTACTGATATTGTCTTGCTGTGTGTAGTTAATATTTCTTAAATAATTTTGATAGTATTGTTTTTCAATGTTTGTGTCACTAATTGATGCCAGAGAATGAGGGAACTGTTTTTCAGATGAGGTTCATCCTTTCTGTTGTAAGTGATACTGTGACTTAGTTCTTTTAATGCAGTTAATATTTCTTTATAATTTCTTATTTTTTATACCATTTTCTCAGTGATTGATATTATTTTGTTGAAAACCCTTAAGGCCTGCATCTGTTGGTGTAACGTAATTTTATTGAGTGCCCTTAAGGCCTATTCATGGTGGATTTAATAATTTCTTATTTTTTATACCATTTTCTCAGGGAGTGATATTATTCTGTTGAAAACTCTTAAGGCCTGCATCTGTTGGTGTAACATAATTTTATTGAGTGCCCTTAAGGCCTATCCATGGTGGAGTAATAATATCTTATTTTTTTTAATACCATTTTCTCAGTGATTGATATCATTTCGTTGAAAGCCCTTAAGGCCTGTTCATGTGTGCTTTTAACATATTCTTAATACTTCGAATTTATTGTTGTCTAATGAGGCATTTCAAGTTTCTAATAATTTCAATATCATGTATAACTTTTATTCCCCAGAGTAGTGTTTTAAGTTCAGGTTAAGAGGTGTGCATATGTTGGTGTACCATTATTGATTCTGTCTGTAGTGTTGGAGGGAATATAAGTGTCTAAATTTCACAGTGTGTCTCATTTACCCTAATCACAGGTGCTATCCTTCCACGGGTCACGGAGAATTCATTTTGTTTGTAAATTTAAGTGTTTTTGTGCTGGTTCGTGTTTTTTCTCCAAGGGGCGCTTCCACTGCAATTACCATCTAATAATAATTAATAAACCCCAAGTCAAGTGAGAATAAAATTCCATTAATTCTGACCGGTTACATATATATATATATATATATATATATATATATATATATATATATATATATATATATATATATATATATATATATATATATATATATATATATATATATATATATATATACAAAACAAAGAAGTATGTTTGTTTGTGTGTGGGTTTTTGTTTGTGTCCACATGAGAATCTCGGAAACTACTTTACCGATTTGTAGTGATGATTATTAAAAAAAATATTTAAAAAATAAATTTAAAAAAAAACATTAAAAAAATCATTAAAAAAAATAAAAAATGTTAAAATTAATTAAAAAAAATAATAAAATTTAAAAATAAATATTATTAAAGCAAATATAAATAAAAATAGAATAAAAAATAATAAAAAAAATAAAAAAATAATAATAAAACAAATAAAAAAATATTAATAAATTAATTAAAAGAATAATAAAAAAAAATTAAAAAATATTAAAAAAAATATTAAAAAATATAAAAAATATAAAAAAATAATTACGAAAATTATTAAAAAAAAATAATTAAAAAAATAAATTAAAAAAAAAATAAGTAAAAAAAAAATATTAAATATAAAAAATATTAAAAGAAAAAATAAGAGAAGAGATGAATAGGTACATTTTGATAGTTTATTCATTAGCAAATAAAGCATGCTTCATTTGTCAAAACGAGCAGTTTTAAAGAAAAATAAAGTCAACACTAGACAAAAATGTAAACAAACTGTCTAATACCATGACGAGTCTTGAAATTCCTAAGCCATCCATCACTAAATGCGCACTCTGATTCAATGTTCATTTGCTCCTTAAAAGACTTTGCTTTGGCAATAAGCATCGACCCAGAAATTGCCATACCTTCTGATCGTTTTAACAAAAACCATTCGTGCAACACTTATCAAGATTTTCTAATTTGGGCCAATGTAAACTTTTTCTTTCAGCAATTTTAATGTAAGGCTCAGAATAAGCTGTGAATTCTAGAATTTTATTCTTTGCCTTTTTTATATCATAAATTGTAGACTTTCCAATGTTGTATGTTTCCATTAGAACAGCATTGCTTACATTACATTCTAGTTTCTTAATTATTTCAAGTTTGTCACTCAATTCCAATGTGTTCTTCTTTCTCTTCACACAACGAAGTTTATCTACTTTAGGGGCCATTATTATGGGCTTGTACTCTGTACATGGAAAGAGTAGGACTTAAAATTAC